TCAACTCAAGTTGGATTAAAGACTTAACTGTAAGACCTGAAATTGCAGAAATACTAGAATAAAACCTAGGGAAAACTCTTCTAGACATTGGGCTAGGCAAAGGATTCATGAAAACCTCAAAAGCACAGGCAACTAAAATAAAAATAGACAAACATGACTTGATTAAACTGAAAAGCTTCTGCACAGCTGAATAGAATGAATAGAAAACCTGCACAATGAGAGAAAATATTTTCAAACTCTGCATCCAAGAAGGGACTAATTTTAATCTAGAAACCATAAAGGACTCAAATAACTAATCAATAACAAGAACAGTAAGAAAAAGCATTAAAAAGTGGACAAAGGACATGAAGAGATATTTTTCAAAAGAAGACATAGAAATCACCCACGAGCACATGAAAAATATTCAACATCACTAATCTTCATAGAAATGCAAATTAAAATCACAATGAGATATCATTTTATACCAGGCAGAATTGCTATTGTTTAAAAAGTCAAAAAATAACAGATTGGGGTGAGGCTGCAGAGAAAAAAGAACACTTATACACTGTTGGTGGGAATGTAAATTAGTACAGGCACTATGGAAAACGATGCAGAGATTTCCCAGATAACCAAAAATAGAACTACCATTCAATCCCACAATCCCACTACTAGCTATCTACCCAAAGGAAAAAAATCTTTATATAAAAAATAAACCTGCACTTGTATTTTTATCACAGCACTATTCACAATAACCAAGATATGGACTCAACATGAGTGTCCATCAATAGAGGATGGGATAAAGAAAATGTGATACATATCACACACACACACACATATATATATACACACATCATGGAATACCACTCAACCATAAAAAAGAGTAAAATCATGTCTTTTGCAACAGCACGGATGGAACTTGAGGCTGTTGTCTTTAGGGAAATAATGCAGAAAGTCAAATACTGCATGTTCTTACTTATAAGAGGAAGTGAAATAATGTGTACACGTGAACATACAGTGTGAAATAATAGACATTGCAGACTCAGAAGGGTAGGAAGATGGGAGCGAGGAGAGGAGAGAGGGTTGACAAATGAAAAATGTCTTAATAAATACAATTGCATTATTCAAGTGATGGTTACTCCAAAAGCCCAGGCTTCAACACTACACAATATATCTATACAACAGAATTCTACTTGTATTCATACAAATGAAAATAAAATGAAGATGATGGTAATGCTTAATTCATATGGTTGGTAGGAGCATGTAAATTAATAAGGTGTTTAAAACAGAGTCTGGTACATACTAAACTGTCAACAAACACACTAGCTATAAAAATAAATTATAAAGTCATCCTTTTTCTGTGAAAGAGCCTCCATTCATTTCTAAGAGTGTTCATTATCTCCAAAACACATAATATATCCCTTAGAGGCACTGAAAGCCATGACTAGTTAATTCCAAATATCTTGCCACATAATGATGAGGTTGGAGTTGTTTTAAATAATTGACTAGCTAAAAATAAAACAGAAGAGAATTAAAATGTACACTGTTTAAGCTGACAAAGCAAATTGGGAAACACTTTTATCTGTAGTGTACTGAATTTTTCCACTGAGATATAAAGTTGAACAACCCCAGTACTCATCAAAAACTTTCCAGATGTGTTTTTATGCAGAGATAGTCTATAACAAGGGCACCAGAAGTAGACATATAACATTTTTTTTCTGGAAGTCCTTTACCCCAACTCTTCCAATTTTTAGTTTCCTGCTACGTGAAACTTGGTGGAAAACTGTGTAACATTAAGAACTGTTTTATAGTTTCCTACTATGTGAAATCTGGTGGAAAACCATATAACAGTGTTCAGCTGGGCACAATGGCTCATGCCTGTAATCCTAGCACTTTGGGTGGCTGAGGTGGACAGATCACTTGAGGTCAGGCGTTCAAGACCAGCCTGGCCAACATGGTGAAACCTTGTCTCTACTAAAAATACAAAAATTGGCCAGGTGTGTGGCACCTGCCTGTAGTCCCAGCTACTCAGGAGGCTGAGGCAGGAGAATCGCTTGAACCTGGGAATCATAGGCTGCAGTGAACTGCACTCCAACCTAAGCAACAGAGCAGGACCCAATCTCAAAACAAATAAACAAACAAAAAACAGAAACAAAGAGACAAACAAAAAACCAGTTTTCAGGATGACATGAATTCAAATCCTGGTTCTGCCTAAATTGTCCTGTAACATGGGCAAATGTCTTAATGTCATTAAGCCACATTTTCCTCATTAATGAAATGATAACAATAACAATCCTACCTTGCCATGGAGTTGTCAGGATCAAATGAGTTATGTTATGTAAAACACAAAGAACAGTGCAACTGTACGAGGATGCTATATAAATGAGAATAGTTCTTTTTGAAAATCTGCTTACCATGCTCACAGCTTAGCTGCCAGCAAACTTGTCTTAAATATGGGGGAAAATAGACATCCTTGTGCGTCTCTGCTTACTCACATTATCTGGACTTACTTATGCACTGGCCATGATGTTTTATCAGCTATGTTCAGTACAGGAATTCCAAGTCAATTCACTGGGAAAGAAAATAAAAAGAAAAGCCATGAAAGAGGAGCATATTTGGCTCAGTTCTCAGGCTTTCTTATTAAATACCAATTCATAACACTAGGTTATTATACTGGAAAATGACAAAAAAACAAGCTCAAGTATACCAGTGGCTGATTTCAAGTACACTAATTTTATGCCTTCATATTTAAAGTAAATTTTTTGTAGACGGCATGAGGTGGGTCTTTTTTTTTCTTTTTTAAAATCTAATGTTCTTTTTCAATTTGCTAAGTTTATACTGTGTTTAATGTACTCATTGACACAATGAATTAAAATCTACCATCAGACCAGGCACGGGTGGCTCACACAGGTAATCCCAGCACTTTGGGAGGCCAAGGCAGATGAATCACTTGAGGCCAGGAGTTCAAGACCAGCCTGACCACCATGGTGAAACCCCGTCTCTATTAAAAATGCAAAAATTAACCAGGCATGGTGGTACACACCTGTAATCCCAGCTACTTGGGAGGCTGAGGCAGGAGAATCTCTTGAACTCAGGAGGTGAAGGTTACCATGAACTGAGCTTGCACCACTGCATTCCAGCCTGGGTGACAGAGTAAGGCTCTGTCTCAAAAAACAAAAACAAAACAAGCAAACAAAACAAAAAAAACCCCTATAATCTTCCTAGTTTTTTTTTTTTTCTGTTTTTTCCATCTTTTCTTTGTTTCTTTTGTCTTCTTTTCCTTTTTAAACTACTTACTATCTTTCGGTTCCATTTTATCTCCACTGTTGATTTATTATTAAATACCTCTCTTCAAAATTGTTTCAGCTATTGCCCTAAAGTTTACATTATATGTCTGGAATTCATGAAAGTATGCTTCTTTATAATACTGTGCCATTTTACGAGTTGTTTAAGGATGTCGCAAACATATACTGCCAATTATGCACTCTAATACTTTATATTATTATTATACATTTTCCTTGTATGTATTCTATACATAAATATAGAGTATATTCCTACTATTTATTATTTAGACAGTCATCTTTTAAACAATTAAAAATACAAAAAGAGTAGATCTTATGTCTATCTGTCTTCATTTAACTCATTTTCAGTGCTCTTCATATGACAAATGTAAATTACTGATTGGCATCAGATTTCTTATGTCTGAAGAAATTCCTTCAATATTTCTTGCAGTGAAGGGCTGCTGACAATGAACTTGCAGCATGTGTGTCTGAAAAATGTCTTTATTTCTCTTTTATTTTGGAATACATTCACTTGGTTTAACAGGGTTTCTTTATTATTTCAGCATTTCACAGATGTTTTCTGGCATGCTCTGCTTCTGATGAGAAATCTGCAGTGAATCTTGTTTTTGTTCCTCTGTATGTAATGTGTCTTTTTTCCTCTGAATGTATTTATAATTTTCTTCTCATTTTTGGTTTTCAGTAATTTGAATGTGACACGTATAGGTGATAGCCATTTTGTTAAATCCATAGTATACAGAGCAAAACAAAAAAGTACCTGCATAAATAGACTTTGGTCTAATGGGGAGACATTAAAAACTTAAACTCACAGATAAATACATAATTATAAATTATATATTATGAAAACAAATTTTTTTTTTTCTCAGAGAGGATTATAATAGAGGAAGCTTAAATTTAAAAGGATAGAATAAGGTCAGGCGAGGTGGCTCACACCTGTAATCCTAGCACTTTGGGAGGCCAAGGCAGGCAGATCACCTGAGGCCAGGAATTCAAGATCAACCTGGCCAACGTGGTGAAACCCCGTCTCTACTAAAAATATTATACAAAAAGTTAGCCAGGCACAGTGGTGTGCGCCTGTAATTCCTGCTACTCAGGCAGCTGAGGCATGAGAATAGCTTGAAGCCAGGAGGTAAAGATTGCAGTGAGCTGAGATGGTGACACTGCACTTTCCCCTGGGCAACAGAGCGAGACTCTGTATCAAAAATAAAAAATAAAATAAAGTAAAAATTAAAGGGTAGAATAAACATTTCCAGAATGGCAAAGCAAGGACCTCCAAAAATTTGCTCTTCCATAAAAGCAATTATAACACAGGTAAAACGGTGTTTTGAAACTCTCGAAACTAACCAAGGACATGCAACAATTCAAGGAGTATTCATTCAAAAACAATGACTGGGCCGGGCGCGGTGGCTCAAGCCTGTAATCCTAGCACTTTGGGAGGCCGAGACGGGCGGATCACGAGGTCAGGAGATCGAGACCATCCTGGCTAGCACGGTGAAACCCCGTCTCTACTAAAAAATACAAAAAACTAGCCGGGCGAGGTGGCAGGCGCCTGTAGTCCCAGCTACTCGGGAGGCTGAGCCAGGAGAATGGCGTAAACCCGGGAGGCGGAGCTTGCAGTGAGCTGAGATCTGGCCACTGCACTCCAGCCTGGGCGACAGAGCTAGACTCCGACTCAAAAAAAAAAAACAAAAACAAAAACAATGACTGAATCTCAGGGTCAACAGTGAGTTTTGTGATACGTTAGCTTGCTTTATTCCCCAGCTTTGCGGTAACCTTGAACACCAGCACACATGGAACTATGTTAGCTGAAAAAAAAATGGTCTAACAACCATTGAAGTGAGCAAAATGTGTTGGAGATTGCTAATGGGCCTGCTTCCCAGAGAATTGTCACTGTTTCATCTATTTGGCAGCTTCCTGGGAAAACCCCATTCACAATTTTGTCTCTATTTCACCAGACTCAGTTCACTCAGTGAGAAAGTTTTATTGCTAGAGTGTTTGTCAAAGCATTGAGCAGCAATTGTTTAACATCGCAATTGCCTGAAAATGTAAATATCAGTTGGAGCATACAATAATCTAATCAAACTCTTAAAAAAATCGATGAGGGCATTAGAAATCCATAGAGGGCTTTGAAAAGCTCCCATATATTCCTGGGGATTACAAAAGTCATGCATATGGGCAAGGCCCTATGTATTCACAGGAAAGACCTGAGAGGACCTAATGTTTCATTTGTGGCTGATCTTGAGGCTCTGCACAAAAAGGACATGAAGATTAAAGGCAGAATTTAAACTGCTGGAGCACTGAAAACATGCTCCAGTACACACATGCAAAGCCTATGCATAAGGCTTCAGAGAATTAACCATGTAAAGCACTTAGAAAACTCTGTCCAATTGTTAGTTGACCGCTAACTAAGTAGAAATTTCAGTGGCTACACACAACAAGAAATGCAGAATTAACATAAGTAACTCAGGAAAATCACTAAACAAACAAAAGTACCACCAACAAAAACAAAGCCTAGATGGGAGGAGAGAGATGCTTTTTAGAATGCGCTATATTTTTATTATTTAAAATATCCAGGTTTTAACAAAAAAAGTGTCACTTAAAGAATGAGGAAAGCATGGCCAATTCATATGTTTAAGAAAACAGTCAATAGAAACTGTCCATAAGGAAACCCAAATATTGGACTTAGTAGACAAAGATTAATATGAGGTGGAGGAAATTATCTTATTGTGAATTCTTTATAATTAAAATATGAATCATATAGAGGACTTTGCCTTCCCTACAGTCTTTTTAAAGGCACTCTTAACCTCTTTGTTCCTCAGGCTGTAGACCAGTGGATTCAACATGGGAATGACTATGGCATAGAACACAGATGCCATTTTGTCCATGCCCATGAAATGGCTGGAGCTAGGTCGTAAATACATAAAGATGCCTGTCCCATAAAAGATGGAAACTGCAGTAAGATGGGAAGCACAGGTGGAAAAGGCCTTCTGGTGTCCTTCAGATGAGCGCATCTTCAGGATGGTGATAAATATAAATAAGTAGGAGATCAAGATTACCAGGATAGAAAAGAAGTCATTGAATCCCACCACAAAAAAAATAACCATCTCACTGATGTAGTTGTCTGAACATGAGACAGCCAAGAGAGGAGGAGCATCACAGAAAAAGTGTTCAACTACATTGGATCTGCAGAAGGAGAGCCTGAAAGTGTTCCCAGTATGAATGGATGCATTCAGGAAACCACAGACACAGGAGCCTATGGCCAGGCAAGCACATACATTTGTTGTCATGGTGGTGGTGTAATGCAGGGGTTTACACACTGCTGCATAGCGGTCATAGGCCATTGATGCCAGGAGGGAATTTTCTACAGTGATAAAGGCTACAAAGAAGAAGAATTGTGTGGCACAAGCATTGTATAATATGGATTTGTCTCCTGTGAGGAACCCCACCATCACCTTGGGAGTGACAGCTGAGGAATAACCAAAGTCCACCAGGGAGAGGTTAGTGAGGAAGAAGTACATGGGGGTATGGAGACAGGAGGCCAATATAATCAATTCAATCATCCCCAGGTTCCCAACCAGAGTGATGAGGTAGACAAAAAGGAAGACTATGAAGAGTGGGATCTGCTGTTCTGGGTCATCAGTTAATCCCACAAGAATGAATTCAGTCACCTCTGTGTTGTTCTCCATTGGGAATTATGTAGCTGCCCTGTAGAAATGAAAAGACAGAATCAGAATGATAAATGGAGGGAGGACTACTGAGATCAGTCAGTATGCCCATTTTGTGCTTTATTCCAGTATTTTAATTACTTGTTTCCAGCAGTCCTGGATCTAAAACATGCCCATGACGACAAAATGCAATTTTAAATTACAATAATTCATAGAGCATTCTTAATAAAATGATTTTGGAGATAATCCATCCCAAACTCCTAATTTCATAGATTACTGAACTAAGGTACAGAAAAGGAAAGATTCATACAAGATCATAAGACTAATTAATTGGAACAGGCAAAATATAAACCAAATCACTTTGAATTCAAGCCTTAACTCTTTATCATAAAGAAAAATTCCTTTAAATCTTTTACATTCAACCTAAACTGGGCACAAGATAGTAATTTATTTAATTGACGAACTGACTGCCTGATGGAGCAATTAAATCTATCATTGTAAGTCAATGTGAAGAATGGAATAGCATGAAATTAGGAATCAAATATACTTACCAGTTTTCTTGGCTTTATGCAAATAACCTACATTTCTAGATCTCAGTTAAATGATAATAACTGCATCCACAAATGTTTATAACCTCTTCCAACCCTTAAAAAATCTTCAAAAAGTTAAAAAGGAACATGACTATTCAGTAATACCAACCAATTGACCAATCAACATAAATTTCTGGATGTGTTCATTTCCTCATTCTCTCTACAAGCACTAATTTCAAATGGAGCACCATGTTGCGTGCTAATTGCCAGGTTTACACTAATGCACGAGATACATTCCCTGACCAGATAGATATCTAAATTGTTAAATATCATGTTTAAGTTCAGAATATTCTTATTCTCTATTCCCAAGGAGAGAGAAGTGTTTTCTCATTTGCTCAGAACTGTGTGATAGATGTTAATCGCATCTACACTGCAGACCATCAGTCAGGCCATAATGTAGTTAATAAATTGTGTCCAATGACCAGATGTTTTTAGTGGACAGAATTAGAACATGAAATTAGGTCTCCTCATTCCACTAGTTAGTTGTGCCTTATGTAATTTTGCACATCTCTATTTCAGTGCATTTTATAACTGGCTTCTAAGCCTGATTTCTTCCTCATTTATTAATCACCATTCCTTCTTTCTTTTTTTAAAAAAATATTAGTATGGGCTTCCAGATTACAGTAAAATTTTATGTTGACATTCCATTTGATTATCTCAACAACTCTAGAATTAGGAGAACTAATATTATCATATTTCCTGAAAAAGAAAATTGAGAAATAAATAGTTTAAATAACTTGTTCAAAGTAATATAATCTTATTCTTTGTAAAGCAGGGACTCGAGGCCTTCTTGTGGTTTTTCTTTATGTCACATGATAAGTATACATATTCTAATAGAAACTCATTAGAAATACAAGTTGAGAATCCCTAATCCAAAAATCCAAAGTCCAAAATGCTTCTAAATCCAAAACTATTTGAGCACCAACATGATGCTACAAATGGAAAATTCCACACATAAGTATGTAGCACAAACTTTGTTTCATGCACCAAAATTATTTAAAATATTACCTAAAATTACTTAGGCTATGGATATAATATGTATATAAAACATAAATGAATTTTGTGTTTAAATTTGGGTTTTATCACCAATATATCTCATTATAAACATGCGAATACTCCAAAATTCAAAAAAATCCAAAATCCAAAACACATTCCCTAATATTTTAGATGAGGAATATTCAACATATATAGCCTCTGGATGTGGCTATATATGTTGAATATGAATAAAAGAAATATTCAAAATCTAGAGCCAAATCTCTGATTAAACCAAAGGAGAAATGGGTACCTTGATGCATTTTTCTAGCTACCTCTGCCCCTGCAACTTTGTGCAGACAATAGATTTGATCCAGAGACTTACCCTTCTCCCTGAGAAATACAAAATTCGGGTCCAGCACTTTCATATATAAGTGAATGTCACATCAGAAATTAAGTTCTTTAAAGAAGGAAAACAACTTTTTGAAGATTTCTCTTTAGTGTTTGGCCAAGAGGCTTAAAGTTCTTTAGAGGCAGGGGGAAATTGAAAGAAAAATGCTATTGGCTTTGGAATCAGCTAACAAGAGCTCTACTCCTGTATTTACTGCTCCTCCTTTGTACATAAGACTCTTAACTCATTTGTATATCAATAGCTGAATCTATAAAAAAGGAAATAATAAAAGATAGCCCCAACAACATCCAGCCTGAAAACTGCTGCTATGGTAAGAAAAGAATAGGAAACCTATAATTTCTTATACTCAGTAAGCGGTGATAATCACAACCTCAATTAACATAATTATTACTGGGGTTTTTTATAAACATTGTTGCAGGCTTTTTGCTATATATCAGTTTTGGAGAAGGTCATAACTACTACTAGATGACTATTGACAATCAGATGAATAAATAAATGGTCAAAGTGACTGGTTCTGGGGCTGCTCCTTCTAATATGAAGCCAAATGGAATCATATAGGTACTCGATCGGTTGAAAAGTGGGAACCAGGAGGTAATTATATGGTCACAGAGCTCTCAGGGGACACATACTCTATGAGGGCTACAAAACACTTTATCCAACATACCTGGAAATCAGGTGATTAAAGAATCTGTGGGGATCCAGCTCTGCTTGTTGTGGGAGATCATGAGTGTATTTATGTTACTTTCAGTTATTCTCTTGGGTAATGCACAAATTAAGCCACAGCATGTCCTTCAAGACTGTAATTTGACATAAATACTAAAAGACAGAGACACACATTTTATCATTAAATAAGGGATGTGGACTTGAGGGATTAGTGTTTCTTTTAATTCGCCTTAAATGTTTGAACCATTGAGAAGAAATATTAATTCATCAACTGTTTATTTATTGCAAGTGGATTTTAGCCATAGTGATGAGATTTAAGAACACAGACCCATGCAAAATAAACATCATTCTTGTGCCCATGGTGTTTAAATCTAATGGAGAAGATAGACAGTAAGCAAATAAACTCCCTAAGAAACATGCATAAATATGCATATATACATATATAAATACATATGTACATATGGAATAAGCATATAACTGTACATAAAAATGAGATAAAAAATAAATCTACTTTATATTGTTTGGTCAGAATGTTTTCTCTGGAAAATTAAGATTTCAGCCAAGTTTAAAAATGACAAAGAACCAGTATGGAAAAGATCAATTCCAAACAACATGAAATATATGTGGTAAAGGACCCAAGTTTCAAGAAAGTTAACAGAATCTAAAAGAAGCCAGAATGTTTTCTTCATAACTAGACTTCTTCCTTGTCAATTTCTGTTTCAGCATCCTCCACCAAAGAAACCTTGACAAACAAAATAAACAGAGTGACACATAAACAAGATGGCAGAATAGGAGATATAATCCTCTTCCCCTCACACAAAAAATCAACCAATAATTATCCATGAATGATAATAGCCTTAGTAGGACTCAAGGGACCATTTAAAAACCTGTAGCAACATAGTGAAACAAAAAAGGTGGGAGAGGAATAACCACATAGAAAAGACTGTTGGAGATTTGTATATACCTGAGATGTCTAGAGATGTCTAGGAACAAAGAAAAGCAGGTTCCAGCATTATCAACCATGTTATGAGTGCCACCATTGTTCCCAGCAACCTGCTGTACAGAGAACACTGCCATCTTTCACTACCAAGATAATCAACAGCCATCCCCACCATGGAGCCCCCAGAAAATGAAACACTGCTGCACCAATGCTTCCAGAAGGGGCAACTGTTTTGTTGCCCCATGGCCAAAGCCACCATTCTTTCCAACTTTGCACCTGCCTCAAACACGGGAGCCACTACTGTTATGGGTTAGCCACACCCCACACCTTAGAGCCCCAGTTGCTGTGTGTGCATACACACTACATGCACTAAGTCCGCTACAATATTGACCAGCCTGAGGCCCAGAGTCCAGAGCCACTGTAGCTTTGAGCAAACCTACACTCTGGACCCTAGAGCCACTATATCTCTGCACATGCATGGACTTTGGCCCCCAGCTTCTCAGCTGCTTCACAAGCATCTGTGCCCCACACAGAGTTATCAATGCAGCAGTGGGGCATCTACAACCAAGGCATTCATGTCATCAGCACTTCAGACTCCAGAGTGATTTTGCCTCTGTGCATGGCCACGCTTTGTATCAAAGGATACAAAATTTCTGTTAGAAAGGAGGAATAGATTCATAAAACCTACTGTACAACATGATCCATATATTTAAAAACAAGATACTGTGTTCTTGAAAAATGTTAAAAGGATAGAGTCTAAATGTTCTCACCCTCAAAATGATAACTTTTTGAGGTAATGCGTATGTTAATTAGCTAGCTTTAGCCATTCTAGAATGTATATATATTTCAAAAAATTATGTTGTACACAATAAATATGTATTATTTAGTCAACCAATTAAAAATAAGTTAAAAATGTTTTCACTGAATACTCATAAGTGTACAAAATGAAAACTTTATTAAATTATCTAAAGTTATGCTTAGGGAGAAATTCCTAGAAAAAAATAAAGACTGAAAATCAATTATTTCAGCATCCAGATCAAGAAGATAAAAAAGAAGAGAAAATTAAACTAAAGGTAATAGAAGAAAATAATAAAAGTTAAATTGTATACTAATGAAATAATAAAAATCATATAACTTCTAAAAACCAAAGTCAAAAGTTGGTATTTAAAAAATACTAATTAAGTTTATTAATCCCTAATGAAACTTATCAATAAATAGAAAAGGCACAAATTACCAATATCTGGAATGAAAAAGGTATTATTAAAAATTTAATCTGAGACTGTTATGAATTACTTAAAGCCACCAATTTTTTAACGTATATAAAATTTACAAATTCCTAGAAGAAAACGTACTAAAACTAACACAAGAATCAAGAAAAAATTTAACAGTCTTCTATTTATATAGAAAACTTAGATCTAAGTATAGATTTATTTATTTATTTATTTATTTATTTTTGGGGGATG